AAGCACAGTCAACTACAAAGAGGAGAGAAATATCCTCAAATTTAATGACGAATCATTTCATTCACTTTAAAAGTGGAAATTCGAAATGCATGAATGACAAAAGTACAATGTGGAATGGTCGTCTTATCAGCCAGTAAGACGGATAGTCTTCTTAGAATGCTCCTTAAGCAAGAGTTAAAATAAACTAAAGTTTAAAATGAGTATATACCTAAGTCATTGAATTATGTTAATTTTTATTTAAGTCTCATATGTTTGTAATTTATTTATATGATTTGTAAACCTTGTTTAGAACATGAACATTTGTGAAGGTGTATTTCACCTTATTATCTCTGTGCATTAATGAGATGAAAGACAATTTGTAAATATTGTCGATACCCGAATACAAATAGTCATTTCAAGTGGTGAATGTATTTTTTCCCAAAAAATGACGAAATCCTAAAAGATCTTACCATCACTGCAGAGAGGTCCAGCAAAAGGTTCCTTACACATGTACATTCCTCGTTCGCACAGTTAGCTCCGTTTTCACATAAAGCACAGTCAACTACACAAGAGGAGAGAAAATATCCTCAAATTAATGACAAATCATTTCATTCACTTTAAAAGTGGAAATTCAAATGCATGAATGACAAAGTACAATGTGGAATGGTCGTCTTATCAGCCAGTAGACGGATAAGTCTTTCTTAGAATACTCTTCAAGCAAAAGTTAAATGAACTTAAGTTTAAAATGAGTATATACCTAAGTCATTGAATTATGTTAATTTTTATTTAAGTCTCATATGTTTGTAATTTATTGATATGATCTTTTGTAAACCTTGTTTAGAACATGTAACATTTGTGAAGGTGTATTTCACCTTATTATCTCTGTGCATTAATGAGATGAAAGACAATTTGTAAATATTGTCGATACCCGAATACAAATAGTCATTTCAAAAGGGTGAATGTATTTTTTCCCCCACAAATGACGAAATCCTAAAAGATCTTACCATCACTGCAGAGAGGTCCAGCAAAAGGTCCTACACATGTACATTCCTCGTTCGCACAGTTAGCTCCGTTTCACATAAAGCACAGTCAACTACAAAGGGAGAGAAATATCCTCAAATTTAATGACAAATCATTTCATTCACTTTAAAAGTGGAAATTCGAAATGCATGAATGACAAAAGTACAAATGTGGAATGGTCGTCTTATCAGCCAGTATGACGGATAAGTCTTTCTTAGAATACTCTTCAAGCAAAAGTTAAATGAACTTAAGTTTAAAATGAGTATATACCTAAGTCATTGAATTATGTTAATTTTATATTTAAGTCTCATATGTTTGTAATTTATTTATATGATCATTTGTAAAACTTGTTTAGGCGAATTACATTTGTGGAGGTGTATTTCACCTTATTCTCTGTGCATTGGTGAGATCACAGACAATTTATTAATTATTTGTCGATACTCGAATACAAATAGTCATTTCAATAGCGGTGAATGTATTCTCCCCCCCCCCCCCCCCCAATGACGATATCCTAAAAGATCTTACCATCACTGCAGAGAGGTCCGCAAAAGGTCCTACACATGTACATTCCTCGTTCGCACAGGAACCTCCGTTTTCACATGGGCTCGTGGCATCAGCACAGACAACTACAAGGAGGAGAGAAGTATCCTCAAATGTAATGACGAATCTTTCCATTCACTTTAAAAGTGGAATTCGAAATGCATGAATGACAAAAGTACAATGTGGAATGGTCGTCTTATCAGCCAGTATGACGGATAAGTCTTTCTTAGAATACTCTTCAAGCAAAAGTTAAATGAACTTAAGTTTAAAATGAGTATATACCTAAGTCATTGAATTATGTTAATTTTATATTTAAGTCTCATATGTTGTAATTTTTATATGATCATTTGTAAAACTTGTTTAGAATTTTACATTTGTGGAGGTGTATTTCACCTTATTATCTCTGTGCATTGGTGAGATCACAGACAATTTGTAATTATTTGTCGATACTCGAATACAAATAGTCATTTCAATAGCGGTGAATGTATTTCTCCCCCCCCCCCCCAATGACGATATCCTAAAAGATCTTACCATCACTGCAGAGAGGTCCAGCAAAAGGTCCTACACATGTACATTCCTCGTTCGCACAGGAACCTCCGTTTTTCACATGGGCTCGTGGCATCAGCACAGACAACTACAAGGAGGAGAGAAAAAGTATCCTCAAATGTAATGACGAATCTTTCCATTCACTTTAAAAGTGGAAATTCGAAATGCATGAATGACAAAAGTACAATGTGGAATGGTCGTCTTATCACCAGTAAGACGGATAAGTCTTTCTTAGAATACTCTTCAAGCAAAAGTTAAATGAACTTAAGTTTAAAATGAGTATATACCTAAGTCATTGAATTATGTTAATTTTATATTAAGTCTCATATGTTTGTAATTTATTTATATGATCATTTGTAAAACTTGTTTAGAATTTTACATTTGTGGAGGTGTATTTCACCTTATTATCTCTGTGCATTGGTGAGATCACAGACAATTTGTAATTATTTGTCGATACTCGAATACAAATAGTCATTTCAATAGCGGTGAATGTATTTCTCCCCCCCCCCCCAATGACGATATCCTAAAAGATCTTACCATCACTGCAGAGAGGTCCAGCAAAAGGTCTACCATGTACATTCCTCGTTCGCACAGGAACCTCCGTTCTCACATGGGCTCGTGGCATCAGCACAGACAACTACAAGGAGGAGAGAAAGTATCCTCAAATGTAATGACGAATTTCCATTCCCTTTAAAGTGGAAATTCGAAATGCATGAATGACAAAAGTACAATGTGGAATGGTCGTCTTATCAGCCAGTAAGACGGAAGTCTTTCTTAGAATGCTCCTTAAGCAACAGGAACCTCCGTTCTCAATGGGCTCGTGGCATCAGCACAGACAACTACAAGGAGGAGAGAAAGTATCCTCAAATGTAATGACGAATTTTCCATTCACTTTAAAAGTGGAAATTCGAAATGCATGAATGACAAAAGTACAATGTGGAATGGTCGTCTTATCAGCCAGTAAGACGGATAAGTCTTTCTTAGAATGCTCCTAAGCAAGAGTTAAAATAAACTAAAGTTTAAAATGAGTATATACCTAAGTCATGAATTATGTTAATTTTTATTTAAGTCTCATATGTTGTAATTTATTGATATGATCTTTTGTAAACCTTGTTTAGAACATGTAACATTTGTGAAGGTGCATTTCACCTTATTATCTCTGTGCATTAATGAGATGAAAGACAATTTGTAAATATTGTCGATACCCGAATACAATAGTCATTTCAAAAGTGGTGAATGTATTTTTTCCCCCCAAAATGACGAAATCCTAAAAGATCTTACCATCACTGCAGAGAGGTCCAGCAAAAGGTCCTACACATGTACATTCCTCGTTCGCACAGTTAGCTCCGTTTTCACATAAAGCACAGTCAACTACAAAGAGGAACGAAAATATCCTCAAATTTAATGACACAATCATTTCATTCACTTTAAAAGTGGAAATTCGAAATGCATGAATGACAAAAGTACAATGTGGAATGGTCGTCTTATCAGCCAGTAAGACGGATAAGTCTTAGAATACTCTTCAAGCAAAGTTAAATGAACTTAAGTTTAAAATGAGTATATACCTAAGTCATTGAATTATGTTAATTTTTATTTAAGTCTCATATGTTTGTAATTTATTGATATGATCTTTTGTAAACCTTTGTTAGAACATGTAACATTTGTGAAGGTGTATTTCACCTTATTATCTCTGTGCATTAATGAGATGAAAGACAATTTGTAAATATATTGTCGATACCCGAATACAAATAGTCATTTCAAAAGTGGTGAATGTATTTTTTCCCCCAAAATGACGAAATCCTAAAGATCTTACCATCACTGCAGAGAGGTCCAGCAAAAGGTCCTACACATGTACATTCCTCGTTCGCACAGTTAGCTCCGTTTTCACATAAAGCACAGTCAACTACAAAGAGGAGAGAAAATATCCTCAAATTTAATGACAAATCATTTCATTCACTTTAAAAGTGGAAATTCGAAATGCATGAATGACAAAGTACAATGTGGAATGGTCGTCTTATCAGCAGTATGACGGATAAGTCTTTCTTAGAATACTCTTCAAGCAAAAGTTAAAATGAACTTAAGTTTAAAATGAGTATATACCTAAGTCATTGAATTATGTTAATTTTATATTTAAGTCTCATATGTTTGTAATTTATTTATATGATCATTTGTAAAACTTGTTTAGAATTTTACATTTGTGGAGGTGTATTTCACCTTATTATCTCTGTGCATTGGTGAGATCACAGACAATTTGTAATTATTTGTCGATACTCGAATACAAATAGTCATTTCAATAGCGGGAATGTATTTCTCCCCCCCCCCCCCAATTGACGATATCCTAAAAGATCTTACCATCACTGCAGAGAGGTCCAGCAAAAGGTCCTACACATGTACATTCCTCGTTCGCACAGGAACCTCCGTTTTCACATGGGCTCGTGGCATCAGCACAGACAACTACAAGGAGGAGAGAAAGTATCCTCAAATGTAATGACGACGAATCTTCCATTCACTTTAAAAGTGGAAATTCGAAATGCATGAATGACAAAAGTACAATGTGGAATGGTCGTCTTATCAGCCAGTAAGACGGATGATAAGTCTTCTTAGAATACTCTTCAAGCAAAAGTTAAAATGAACTTAAGTTTAAAATGAGTATATACCTAAGTCATTGAATTATGTTAATTTTTTATTAAGTCTCATATGTTTGTAATTTATTGATATGATCTTTTGTAAACCTTGTTTAGAACATGTAACATTTGTGAAGGTGTATTTCACCTTATTATCTCTGTGCATTAATGAGATGAAAGACAATTTGTAAATATTGTCGATACCCGAATACAAATAGTCATTTCAAAAGTGGTGAATGTATTTTTTCCCCCCAAAATGACGAAATCCTAAAAGATCTTACCATCACTGCAGAGAGGTCCAGCAAAAGGTCCTACACATGTACATTCCTCGTTCGCACAGTTAGCTCCGTTTTCACATAAAGCACAGTCAACTACAAGAGGAGAGAAAATATCCTCAAATTTAATGACAAATCATTCATTCACTTTAAAAGTGGAAATTCGAAATGCATGAATGACAAAGTACAATGTGGAATGGTCGTCTTATCAGCCAGTATGACGGATAAGTCTTTCTTAGAATACTCTTCAAGCAAAAGTTAAAATGAACTTAAGTTTAAAATGAGTATATACCTAAGTCATTGAATTATGTTAATTTTATATTTAAGTCTCATATGTTTGTAATTTATTTATATGATCATTTGTAAAAGTGTTTAGAATTTTACATTTGTGGAGGTGTATTTCACTTATTATCTCTGTGCATTGGTGAGATCACAGACAATTTGTAATTATTTGTCGATACTCGAATAAAATAGTCATTTCAATAGCGGTGAATGTATTTCTCCCCCCCCCCCAATTGACGATATCCTAAAAGATCTTACCATCACTGCAGAGAGGTCCAGCAAAAGGTCCTACACATGTACATTCCTCGTTCGCACAGGAACCTCCGTTTTCACATGGGCTCGTGGCATCAGCACAGACAACTACAAGGAGGAGAGAAAGTATCCTCAAATGTAATGACGAATCTTTCCATTCACTTTAAAAGTGGAAATTCGAAATGCATGAATGACAAAAGTACAATGTGGAATGGTCGTCTTATCAGCCAGTAAGACGGATAAGTCTTTCTTAGAATACTCTTCAAGCAAAAGTTAAAATGAACTTAAGTTTAAAATGAGTATATACCTAAGTCATTGAATTATGTTAATTTTATATTTAAGTCTCATATGTTTGTAATTTTTATATGATCATTTGTAAAACTTGTTTAGAATTTTACATTTGTGGAGGTGTATTTCACCTTATTATCTCTGTGCATTGGTGAGATCACAGACAAATTGTAATTATTTGTCGATACTCGAATATAAATAGTCATTTCAATAGCGGTGAATGTATTTCTCCACCCCCCCCCCAATTGACGATATCCTAAAAGATCTTACCATCACTGCAGAGAGGTCCAGCAAAAGGTCCTACACATGTACATTCCTCGTTCGCACAGGAACCTCCGTTTTCACATGGGCTCGTGGCATCAGCACAGACAACTACAAGGAGGAGAGAAAGTATCCTCAAATGTAATGACGAATCTTTCCATTCACTTTAAAAGTGGAAATTCGAAATGCATGAATGACAAAAGTACAATGTGGAATGGTCGTCTTATCAGCCAGTAAGACGGATAAGTCTTTCTTAGAATACTCTTCAAGCAAAAGTTAAAATGAACTTAAGTTTAAAATGAGTATATACCTAAGTCATTGAATTATGTTAATTTTATTTAAGTCTCATATGTTTGTAATTTATTTATATGATCATTTGTAAAACTTGTTTAGAATTTTACATTTGTGGAGGTGTATTTCACCTTATTATCTCTGTGCATTGGTGAGATCACAGACAATTTGTAATTATTTGTCGATACTCGAATACAAATAGTCATTTCAATAGCGGTGAATGTATTTCTCCCCCCCCCCCCCCCCCAATTGACGATATCCTAAAAGATCTTACCATCACTGCAGAGAGGTCCAGCAAAAGGTCCTACACATGTACATTCCTCGTTCGCACAGGAACCTCCGTTTTCACATGGGCTCGTGGCATCAGCACAGACAACTACAAGGAGGAGAGAAAGTATCCTCAAATGTAATGACGAATCTTTCCATTCACTTTAAAAGTGGAAATTCGAAATGCATGAATGACAAAAGTACAATGTGGAATGGTCGTCTTATCAGCCAGTAAGACGGATAAGTCTTTCTTAGAATACTCTTCAAGCAAAAGTTAAAATGAACTTAAGTTTAAAATGAGTATATACCTAAGTCATTGAATTATGTTAATTTTATATTTAAGTCTCATATGTTTGTAATTTATTTATATGATCATTTGTAAAACTTGTTTAGAATTTTACATTGTGGAGGTGTATTTCACCTTATTATCTCTGTGCATTGGTGAGATCACAGACAAATTGTAATTATTTGTCGATACTCGAATATAAATAGTCATTTCAATAGCGGTGAATGTATTTCTCCACCCCCCCCCCCAATTGACGATATCCTAAAAGATCTTACCATCACTGCAGAGAGGTCCAGCAAAAGGTCCTACACATGTACATTCCTCGTTCGCACAGGAACCTCCGTTTTCACATGGGCTCGTGGCATCAGCACAGACAACTACAAAGGAGGAGAGAAAGTATCCTCAAATGTAATGACGAATCTTTCCATTCACTTTAAAAGTGGAAATTCGAAATGCATGAATGACAAAAGTACAATGTGGAATGGTCGTCTTATCAGCCAGTAAGACGGATAAGTCTTTCTTAGAATACTCTTCAAGCAAAAGTTAAAATGAACTTAAGTTTAAAATGAGTATATACCTAAGTCATTGAATTATGTTAATTTTTATATTTAGTCTCATATTTGTGTTTTTAATTTATTTATATGATCATTTGTAAAACTTGTTTAGAATTTTACATTTGTGGAGGTGTATTTCACCTTATTATCTCTGTGCATTGGTGAGATCACAGACAATTTGTAATTATTTGTCGATACTCGAATACAAATAGTCATTTCAATAGCGGTGAATGTATCTCCCCCCCCCCCCCCCAATGACGATATCCTAAAAGATCTTACCATCACTGCAGAGAGGTCCAGCAAAAGGTCCTACACATGTACATTCCTCGTTCGCACAGGAACCTCCGTTCTCACATGGGCTCGTGGCATCAGCACAGACAACTACAAAGGAGGAGAGAAAGTATCCTCAAATGTAATGACGAATCTTTCCATTCCCTTTAAAAGTGGAAATTCGAAATGCATGAATGACAAAAGTACAATGTGGAATGGTCGTCTTATCAGCCAGTAAGACGGATAAGTCTTTCTTAGAATGCTCCTTAAGCAACAGGAACCTCCGTTCTCCACATGGGCTCGTGGCATCAGCACAGACAACTACAAGGAGGAGAGAAAGTATCCTCAAATGTAATGACGAATCTTTCCATTCACTTTAAAAGTGGAAATTCGAAATGCATGAATGACAAAAGTACAATGTGGAATGGTCGTCTTATCAGCCAGTAAGACGGATAAGTCTTTCTTAGAATGCTCCTTAAGCAAGAGTTAAAATAAACTAAAGTTTAAAATGAGTATATACCTAAGTCATTGAATTATGTTAATTTTTATTTAAGTCTCATATGTTTGTAATTTTTGATATGATCTTTTGTAAACCTTGTTTAGAACATGTAACATTTGTGAAGGTGCATTTCACCTTATTATCTCTGTGCATTAATGAGATGAAAGACAATTTGTAAATATTGTCGATACCCGAATACAAATAGTCATTTCAAAAGTGGTGAATGTATTTTTTCCCCCAAAAATGACGAAATCCTAAAAGATCTTACCATCACTGCAGAGAGGTCCAGCAAAAGGTCCTACACATGTACATTCCTCGTTCGCACAGTTAGCTCCGTTTTCACATAAAGCACAGTCAACTACAAAGAGGAACGAAAATATCCTCAAATTTAATGACAAATCATTTCATTCACTTTAAAAGTGGAAATTCGAAATGCATGAATGACAAAAGTACAATGTGGAATGGTCGTCTTATCAGCCAGTAAGACGGATAAGTCTTTCTTAGAATACTCTTCAAGCAAAAGTTAAAATGAACTTAAGTTTAAAATGAGTATATACCTAAGTCATTGAATTATGTTAATTTTTATTTAAGTCTCATATGTTTGTAATTTATTGATATGATCTTTTGTAAACCTTGTTTAGAACATGTAACATTTGTGAAGGTGTATTTCACCTTATTATCTCTGTGCATTAATGAGATGAAAGACAATTTGTAAATATTGTCGATACCCGAATACAAATAGTCATTTCAAAAGTGGTGAATGTTTTTTCCCCCAAAATGACGAAATCCTAAAAGATCTTACCATCACTGCAGAGAGGTCCAGCAAAAGGTCCTACACATGTACATTCCTCGTTCGCACAGTTAGCTCCGTTTTCACATAAAGCACAGTCAACTACAAAGAGGAGAGAAAATATCCTCAAATTTAATGACAAATCATTTCATTCACTTTAAAGTGGAAATTCGAAATGCATGAATGACAAAAGTACAATGTGGAATGGTCGTCTTATCAGCCAGTATGACGGATAAGTCTTTCTTAGAATACTCTTCAAGCAAAAGTTAAAATGAACTTAAGTTTAAAATGAGTATATACCTAAGTCATTGAATTATGTTAATTTTATATTTAAGTCTCATATGTTTGTAATTTATTTATATGATCATTTGTAAAACTTGTTTAGAATTTTACATTTGTGGAGGTGTATTTCACCTTATTATCTCTGTGCATTGGTGAGATCACAGACAATTTGTAATTATTTGTCGATACTCGAATACAAATAGTCATTTCAATAGCGGTGAATGTATTTCTCCCCCCCCCCCCAATGACGATATCCTAAAAGATCTTACCATCACTGCAGAGAGGTCCAGCAAAAGGTCCTACACATGTACATTCCTCGTTCGCACAGGAACCTCCGTTTTCACATGGGCTCGTGGCATCAGCACAGACAACTACAAGGAGGAGAGAAAGTATCCTCAAATGTAATGACGAATCTTTCCATTCACTTTAAAAGTGGAAATTTGAAATGCATGAATGACAAAAGTACAATGTGGAATGGTCGTCTTATCAGCCAGTAAGACGGATAAGTCTTTCTTAGAATACTCTTCAAGCAAAAGTTAAAATGAACTTAAGTTTAAAATGAGTATATACCTAAGTCATTGAATTATGTTAATTTTATATTTAAGTCTCATATGTTTGTAATTTATTTATATGATCATTTGTAAAACTTGTTTAGAATTTTACATTTGTTGAGGTGTATTTCACCTTATTATCTCTGTGCATTGGTGAGATCACAGACAATTTGTAATTATTTGTCGATACTCGAATACAAATAGTCATTTCAATAGCGGTGAATGTATTTCTCCCCCCCCCCCAATGACGATATCCTAAAAGATCTTACCATCACTGCAGAGAGGTCCAGCAAAAGGTCCTACACATGTACATTCCTCGTTCGCACAGGAACCTCCGTTCTCACATGGGCTCGTGGCATCAGCACAGACAACTACAAGGAGGAGAGAAAGTATCCTCAAATGTAATGACGAATCTTTCCATTCCCTTTAAAAGTGGAAATTCGAAATGCATGAATGACAAAAGTACAATGTGGAATGGTCGTCTTATCAGCCAGTAAGACGGATAAGTCTTTCTTAGAATGCTCCTTAAGCAACAGGAACCTCCGTTCTCACATGGGCTCGTGGCATCAGCACAGACAACTACAAGGAGGAGAGAAAGTATCCTCAAATGTAATGACGAATCTTTCCATTCACTTTAAAAGTGGAAATTCGAAATGCATGAATGACAAAAGTACAATGTGGAATGGTCGTCTTATCAGCCAGTAAGACGGATAAGTCTTTCTTAGAATGCTCCTTAAGCAAGAGTTAAAATAAACTAAAGTTTAAAATGAGTATATACCTAAGTCATTGAATTATGTTAATTTTATTTAAGTCTCATATGTTTGTAATTTATTGATATGATCTTTTGTAAACCTTGTTTAGAACATGTAACATTTGTGAAGGTGCATTTCACCTTATTATCTCTGTGCATTAATGAGATGAAAGACAATTTGTAAATATTGTCGATACCCGAATACAAATAGTCATTTCAAAAGTGGTGAATGTATTTTTCCCCCAAAAATGACGAAATCCTAAAAGATCTTACCATCACTGCAGAGAGGTCCAGCAAAAGGTCCTACACATGTACATTCCTCGTTCGCACAGTTAGCTCCGTTTTCACATAAAGCACAGTCAACTACAAAGAGGAGAGAAATATCCTCAAATTTAATGACAAATCATGTCATTCACTTTAAAAGTGGAAATTCGAAATGCATGAATGACAAAAGTACAATGTGGAATGGTCGTCTTATCAGCCAGTATGACGGATAAGTCTTTCTTAGAATACTCTTCAAGCAAAAGTTAAAATGAACTTAAGTTTAAAATGAGTATATACCTAAGTCATTGAATTATGTTAATTTTATATTTAAGTCTCATATGTTTGTAATTTATTTATATGATCATTTGTAAAACTTGTTTAGAATTTTACATTTGTGGAGGTGTATTTCACCAATTGTTCTCCAAGCCCAAGGCCAACATCAACATGGCCAAGGGCAAAGGGAGTTATGAAAATTATCATCATGCTGAGCTGAGATGACCTGGGATGTAGCTCCTTCTGGTTAACTGTTAGGGAATTCAATGATTTACCTTACAAGCAAAGAAGGACATGAATGAACATTTAATTAAAAATTGGAAATTAGATACAGTCCTGCCCTGAAAATGAATAAATGGCACCATCCGAAAAGGGAACACTTTTGTTTTGAGACTGAAGTAATCATGAGTAGTCTACCTTTTGGGGAACAATGTCTACATGTTTAGCTTAGTTTCTCTCATTATCTGTACTCTGTGTTTGTTATATTCAAAGGCAGCACTTTAGTACCCTTGCCTTTGTCCCTTACCCTATACAACAATTCTTTTAAACAATTGTTCTTAATACCCGCAAATGTTGCCCAACTCTACTTCGTATTTTAAAGAATTTTCCAAGCAAGCACCATACCAGATGATGTACATGTCTCACTACCAGTACCTACACCTCAGTGGTAATGACATTATGATGATGTTTTTGCTTTCACTTAGTTTCAGATGCAGTAGATACAATTTTCACTTGCATGAAGGAAGCACTGGGAAAGTACATCTATTTTTCAAGAATCATGAATGCCACAGGCCAGAAACAAATCCAGGTGAGAATAGTTTCATGATCTGTTCAAAGAAAATAGCAGCAAAGTACTAAGCACACTCACTGCGTATGTGCATTGGGGTGGTTGTGTTGGTAGGGACAATTGGAAAATTCTATTTTGGGGTAATAGGGGCAATTGAAAACTGTTTGGGGTCAGTTATGCCTAGTAATTAATTTGATGTACAAAAGATAATATTGGATTCATTTCCTTACCTCTGCTTGCAAATAAATGAAAGAAAATAACTTGTAATTATTTCTTTCATTCTACAAAATTAGATTGGATACAGGGACCGACATGCTGGTAAGATGGGTCCTTGATAGTTCACTGAACACAGAGCTGCATAATGTGACTTGGCATAGTGACCTAAGAGTGGGAGCGGTATGGAACCGTTGAAGCAATTCACTGAACACCTACAGTCAGAGCTGCATGTGTGACTTGGCATGGTGACCCTTAAAGTCTTCTGACGGCTCCGATTCTGATTCTGATGATGACCCATTGTCTATGCTTCTGAGCGAGTCAAAAGGTATCTTCTTTCCTTCTTGATTGTTTCCCAATAGTTAAAATTTTAGATATTCTTAATTGCTTTTAATGCTTAGGTCCCTTAGTTAAGGGAATGAGTGGTCCTATCGAGGTCAGCATCTAATTATTTTTTTAATCCTTAACAAAAATTGACAATACTAAGGTGATACCAAATAAAGTATTTAATTCATTAAGAGCCTCTTTAAAAGTTGGTACCAAAACTACACAAATAATTTCGCCCAATCATAATGCACTGTAAAGTTTCCCTTCATAATTGAAATTCTGATAATGGTTTTCTATTGATTGTTCTTTCTCTTATTTCCTTTTGCTTTCACGCAGTCTAGATGAAGGATCTTCGCTGCTTCAACCACTATTGCTTGGATGACTTACGTGTGAAGAAACTTGAAGAACTGTTGTTGAAGAGAATGCTTGAGAAACTAGAATCAATTACATGATCGTTTTGACAATGCTTCAATGTTTCAATACCTCAATCTCTCTTTTATACTGTTTTATTTTAAACATTTTAAATATCATAAACAAAGCAAACTCCACTCATAATTGTAATTGTGTGTTGTAATCGCAATGAAATGGATTGATTATAAAATCAATGAATGATTTAAAGCAAACTGGTAACATTGTCCATGATTTCTGAAACAATGAACTGAATAGTCGTACAGGTGTCAGTTTTCTGTTACAGTATTGCAATGAACTCCTGCACACATAAATCTTTATTATTCAAATGTATAGCTCAGAACAGCTATTTATCAGGTATACCTACCTCAATCAGTAATGCACATTAGAGTTTTCGATTCCAGTTCCATGAATCCTCATATCGTATCTTTGTATTGAGGAATTTGTTTATCTATTTTCGTTAAATGTTTGTATTCACAGGGGTTGATGCCTTCATTAGAACATGAATATAAGTTACATTTCCACAATTGATTTTTCTTTCAAAGCACAATGTTACTAGTTCACATTTAATGTTTTTATTTTTACTTCTATAGTCATTCTCATCATAATTGTATTTGGTACTTCAAACTATCTTATAATCATACAATATAATCATAATGTTGCTGTTTTGAATTTTATCTGTTTGATGAGAAATGAAATTGTTTAGTCAAATTGATATTTCCATGTTTATCATGCATTGTTAAGCTGATAATTGTTTAGTCAGAGATTACATGTTTGCCTGGGTGAAGACAACCTTAGCATTGGTAAACTTTGTAGCGTTTGAGACTGTGTACTAAATTTTATTGAAATACCCTAGAAAGAGATTGTGTAACCTGACTTGCTTCTGAAACTCTACTCACAAGATATTAATGAAAAACAGTAATGAACAAAAAAAAGTAATGATTATGATTATATTAGTCATATTTCCCATTGAAAAAACTGTGCCATCTTTTTTTTTCAAGAACTGCCTCGTTTTGTTACGATCAACATGTAAACCTTTCAGCCAGAACAGGATAACCATGGCGTGCAAGAAAGAGACTATACCACACAGTACTGTTTTGAATACCTCTTTTGTCTTCAGGTAAAAAAATCTGTGCAGATGAACCTTTAAAAAAAAAGAGTTTATTTAGCAACCAGTATATTTCAGCATGCTAATGATATAAAATTTCTTATTAATTTTGTTTTGGAATGGCATTTTGAATATAGATTTATTTCTTTGTTGACTTCATCATACATGTAGTACATGTATGTCAAGCATTTTGTATGTCACATGTGGCATTTATTTGCTATGATTGCTGAATAAACATGATAACCAGGACATGTATGAAGAATAAGTTAAAGACATTTTAGCATATTTAGTACTGTATAATGTGCTAAATAACCTTTGTATTCCGTGGCTGTATACCTGATGAGTCTTTTCCACAAATTTCTAAATGTACATTTCAAAATGCAATATAGTATTGATGATAATTGATGATGATATGTTTGGTATGAATTATTTAATATTTTAATTTATTCTCCATTTGCCACTTGCTGTTCTGGTTCAAAATGTTTGAATTAAAACTGCTCAGTCAAAATTCATTTTCTGTTTATATTGCAGAGTTGGGTAGTTAACTACAGATTATGGTCAATGATCAATACTGAATCTTTTTCCTTCATTCAAAAATATTTCTTAACATATTTGCTTTATTTCCTATATGAAAAATATTTAGCTAGGCCCCTCTCTAAAATTTTAGAAATTCCTCATAGTAATAGAGTAGCAAAAGCCCTAATATCACCCGCATGAATTTCAACAAGAAATGGCAGAATTTGTGTGATATTAAGGGAGATGGAGGGGGTAAAGAGAGAGAGAGAGGGAGAGAGAGAGAGAGGGAGACTACTTGAACGTGTTCTTAAGTGGAAAGTATATAGTAACTTTAGTGCAATCTTTAGTTCCTACTACATACAATATACCTGATAATTAAACCTCAAAGAATATTAAATACATATCCATTTTTAGCTTAAGATTAAAGAGAATAGCTTATTAAAAGCACTTTGTGCCAATATCCATTGGAGCCCGCAACAGCATCCTCAAGAAGCTAGCCAACACCAACTGGGGGACTGATGCCAGAACAATCCGGACGACAGCCCTCGCGCTTTGCTTCTCTGCTGCGGAGTATGCATCACCAGTATGGAGTAGGTCGGCCCATGCACCCAAGATTGACCCAGCTCTAAATTCAGCTTGTAGAGCGATCACTGGATGCCTAAGGCCAACTAAAGTAGAAGACATCTACCTGCTCTGCGGTATTTCCCCTCCACACGTCAGAAGGTTGGTTGTCCCAGAAAGAAAAGGACAAACAAGAAAACAACCCACTCCACCCACTCTTCGAACAACAGCCAGTGGGCAAGCGGCTCAAATCCAGACACAGCTTTCTGCACTCGGTAGAGCCTCTTAATACTAGCCCTCACAACCAAAGGATGACTTTGTGGTCTAACCACCTTCAGACAACTCCACATAAACTCTCCCTCAGCCCGAAGGAATCCCTCGCAACCGGCTCCAGTGAGACTTGCCTACCTGGCTTAGCCTCAACCGCCTAAGAACTGGCTACGGTCGATGCAGAGTCCTAATGCAGAGGGGGTCTAGGAGACGAACAAACGGCATGTGAATGCGGCCAGGAACAGACGATGGAACACCTGCTAGTCTGCCCACTCCTGCCAGAGCCATGCACCCAAGATGACCTGGAAGCCGTTAATTGCCGTGCCAAAGCCTGTGTGGACCACTGGACGGGACTTGTGTAGTGACTCGATAAGAAGAAGAAGAAGCCAATATCCATCTGTGCTATTGATAGTTAATTTATTGTGAGCCGTAGCTTCGTGAACAAAAACTGACATCATACATCTAACATCATAATTATACAAAGAAGAAAAGGTGCTCTTATTTTATCCATACATCTATTAAACAAGTAATTTTACCGTATTTCAGTGTCTGACTCATGAAATTGCTTCACACAATAAAAATCCCATTATGTTTTATACGCGCTCGGCTACGAGCCGTCACTTCGTGAAAACAAAATACAAGCGTTCTATGTGATTTGTGTTTTCACGAAATGACGGTTAAGTTAAAAGTTCATACAGAGACATTCAGTTTATTCTTATCAATAAAAAAAAAACAGCTACCAAACGAGGAAAATGTACTCTATCTCTCAGTTCGCATTATTTTATCTGTAGTCAGTTAAACAAAACATAATGCTGTTTTTAGTGTCCATTTCGAGAATTCCTTCCACAAGGGAAAAGTCCCATACGTTTTACGCGCGCGGCTACGTACCGTCACTTCGTGAAAACAAATCAAAGCGTTCTATGCAATTTGTGTTTTCACGAAATGACGGATGTGTTAACAGTTCACACAGAGAAATGAAAAAGCAGCTACAGAAAGAGGAAAATATACTCTTCTCACAGTTCGAATTATTTTATCTGTACATCAATTAAACAAAACGTTTTGCCGTATTTAGTGTCCATTTCGAGAATTCCATCCACGAGAGAAAAATCCCATATGTTTTACGCGCGCGGCTACGTACCGTCACTTCGTGAAAACAAAATCACAGCGCGTCCTTGAATTTCGTGTTTTCACGAAGTGACGGTAATGTTTACAGCTCATTTCCTCAACAAAAAAAAATAATGGAAATATTTAAAGATAGAACTAAACATTGAGATATTTTCTATCCCAGGATATAACATTTATATGCCTTTGATAAATTAAAGAGGTTGAGATTATAGCTTGAACCTTTGAAAGCGATTTATTCAAAACTAACTTTCTTTTAGTTGCGCGCTCTACCGTCACTTCGTGAAAACAGGGACGATATATCTTCTCCCTTTCTCTATACAGTGCGTCCCGAAAAAAACTATACACTTTTGAAATGGCTGCCG